TGCTGGACTGTTGCCACATTGTCTTCCAAAAATTTCAGTCTTAAGGTACTTGAGAAGCAAGAGCTGCACTATCTGTTGCCATATACTGTGCATTCTCTAGCAGCGGAGGTTTCATTCCCCCTCTTCTCTACATCATCTCATCTCTTTTATTTGATCGCATCAGACGTTTCCCCACTATAGCTTACTGCAATGGGGAAGGGTGGGGGGAGGAAGCATTTTCCTGCATCTTTTTTCATGTTGGAGCATGTTTTGGAGCTCGATTGAGTCTGCAGTGACATTTATCATAGGGCTGGGGAAGCTGTGGATAAAGCAAGCTCTGAATATTGTGTCCTGTGAGAGGTAGGAGAAAGGGTGCTAGGAATTAGTTTGAATGCTGACAGCATGTGCCTGGCGGTGGGAGACTTGGGACTCAGCATCAGCACTTCCAGGATTCTGGAGCCTTTCCAGGAAGTTTGAAGGTCAGGTAAGATAAGAACAAAAAACACTTGCAAAAAATGTTTACTGGCTGGGCACGGTGGCTCACTCCTGTAATCCCAGCACTCTGGGAGGCCGAGGTGGGAGGATCGTCTGAGCTCAGTTTGAGACCAGCCCGAGCAAGAGGGAGACCCTGTCTCCACTAAAAATAGAAAAATTAAGCAGACATGGTGGCATGTGCCTCTAGTCCCAGCTACTTGGGAGGCTGAGGTAAGAGGTTTGCTTGAGCCCAGTCTGCCCACAGAGACAGAGCAAGACTGTGTCTCGAAAAAAAGAAAAATGTTTACACATATATACATTCTCTTCATACAAAAATGAAATCATAGTCATACTGTCCTGTAATTGCTGTTTTTAAAGATTTTTAAAAAATTGTAAAATATACATGACATAAAATTTACCATTTAACCATTTTTTAGTGTCCAGTTCTGTGGCATTAAGTCCATTCACATTGCTGTGCAGCCATCACCACCCTCCATCTCTAGAACTTTTTCATCTTCCCAAATGGAAACTCTGTGTCTGTTAAACACTAAACTCCTCATTTCTTGCAATTGCTTTTTTTAACTCAACAAGCTATCTTACTGACTTTCCAGTGTGCCATTATCTGGGTTTACTTTATGTTTTTTAACCTTAGTTTTAATGGTTGTATAGAATTCCGCAATATATTTGTGGTATGGTTCATATAACCAGTCCTAGACTGATGGATGTTTGGATTCCAGTTTTTTGTTATTACAAACACTTTGAACATCTCTGCCAGTTTTTGTAGGAGATTCCTGAGTGTAGAGTCTTATGAGCATGGATGGTTGGGGCCCATGTTCTAATTCCAGCTCTGTCCCTTCGTGGTCCAGTCAACCTCATTAAGCCTCACTTTCTTAATTTATAAAGTAATCCCCTCATATCTCAGAGGTTATTGTGAGAATTAAATATTAAGACAAATACAAATATTTCTGTAAGGGTACAAATGAAATGGTAAATAATTGTGTCTATAGAGGGAGTCTAGGAATCTAGGATGAGAGGAAAATTTTTTATTGTATAGCTTTTTGTACTGTTTTAATTTTTTTAATTATGCATATGTACTGATTTTTAAACCATTTAACATCATGCCAGGAATGTAATAAATGCTCAGTTACGTAGTTTCTGACCATGCTGGTTCTTTCCTCCAGACTTACGACTTCTTCTGTAAATGGCCCTAATGTAGTTGCTTTTACTTTTTTCCTCTCCTTCACTCCCTGTATTAGCTTCCCTGATGAGTTCTTACCACGAATTTTCTGTTGAATCTATCCTTTTCTTTTTCACTCCTTTCTTATCAACTTCCTTTCCACCCTGGTCCTGAAAATCTTTCAAGTGAATGTAAGATGACAATGTTAAGTCTTGGAAAGACTTGAGAGAATGCACATCTAATGCCTTGTGGACTGTAGTGTTAATCCACGTGGCTGGAAAAATCCATGCTCATATTAAACACTTGGGTGGAACCAACAGTGTTTTTTCTGTGTTCCTATTTTTCATCTAAATGTTATTAATGTACCAATTCTTTTATAAAGAGGTTATGGAATTTGTGCTAGAATTTTTTTTAGAGCCTGCTTTATGTTAACATATGCTAAAAAGACAATTATGATAAAAGATCTAAGAAAATTTAACATTTAAAAAATGTCTTTATATGTAAAAAAGTTGGAACCTACTAAATTAATGCACTCAACACTTTAGTGGGTCCACTACAGTAGCCCACTAAACTGTTCCTGTATTTTACAGGGCAGGAGTTGCCTAGAGACGTAAACTAGTTTATTCAAGGCCGCAGAATGAGTTAGAAGCAGGATTAGGAATAGAGCCCACCTTTGGATATATTATGGGGTCCCATCTACTGTGCTATACTGGTTCGTTCTCTTACTTTATTTACATTGCATTTTTAAGCTTATAGATAAATGTTTCATCTTTCCATCTATGCTATATCGTAAACACCTTGAGGACCAAGAACTTGTCAGGTATATCTGAGCCCTGTTAACATAGTAATTCTGGAAATGTCTGAGTGAATTATGAAATATTGCCCCAGAATTGTTCTATTACAGGGATCATGGATGTCACTCTCTTTTAACTGGATTCCTTTTGTGAAACGTGTTCTTGGGGATGCGGTATTCTTAGCCACATGTGCTGGTATTTCTAATTTTTCCACCCCAGAGACCTAAATCTTCTCACCTACCCATGTCCACTGTTCCCACATGGTGCAGTCTGAACGATTACTTCCTATTGACAGGCTTCATTGCTGATGTATCAGTTAAGTGACAAATGTTGCCAGCTGCTTAAATAGATTGTAAATTTATTTCTCATTGGGAAATATAGTTGTTGCTTTGTGTTTGTCTGTTTATCTTTAAAGCTGGGTACATTGCTGGCCCATATAAAATTTGCCATATTAACATAGTAAGGAGGGGAGTGAGAATGGACATTGGGTAGGCAATTGCAGCCTCTGCCTCAGCTAGCTGTTCTTCCTTCCCAGTGCAGTAGATGCAACAGAATTTTTTTTTTTTTTTTTTTTAACGTGCAAGACACAGTGCACCTGAGGGGATTCAAAAGGAGAATAAGACAATGAATGGTCCTTGCTCTTGAGAATCTTTTAATTTAACTGTTATATTATTCATGTTGGTTACAGATTTTCCTAAAGCACCACTTAGGTCATATTACCCCTTCTTTTCAAAATATTAGGAAGCTCTTGTGGCCTGTTAAATAGGTCCAAACTCCAGAGCCTGGAATTTAAGGCTGTTTGTAATCTGGCCCAGCCCATCTTTATAGCCTTGTCACCTACTACTCCCTTAGGGTGTGTTTCTCTAACCCACTGCCATTTTCTGAGAATGGTGCTTGCCTCCCTAAGTGCCTTTGTTCATGCTGTTCTCTTGGCCTGGAAAATCATCTTCGTCTGTGCTTTCTTGGGAGCTGGGGCCAAACTGCCCCTTTTCTCATGAAATAATGAGTTCCTGGAACTTTATTGATTCTTTGCCACATCCGAGGGAATTAGGGATTCAGAGCTTTTTCTGTTCTCCCACAGCATTTTGACTTCTTTTTTGGTACTTATCAATTTCTGTTTTGTATTATAGTGTTTTTGTATATATGTCTAATCTTTTCTGCCAAATTATAATTTCTGGAAGTAAAGGAATATCTTGATTAAATTTGTTAAATGTCCAAAGGAAAAAAAAACTGTATTTAAATAGGCTTTTTTTTTTAAATGCACCTATTACATTTAAAAAGAAGTTAACCTGTATTTATTTACTAGCACTGTTAAAACATTACACAAAACACATCCAAAGTGGCAAGTAATTATAATGCAAGCCCTTGCATGGCAATCCAAATTTATTGAACTACTGATGCTAAGTTATACAAAATTGCACCACTTTAATTAAGGCTTTTAGTTTACATTTGGCCACCTCAAAGTAGTTATAACATTAGGTTGGTCAGTTTAAATACTGTGGCTCCCTGTTGGATAGACACACAATCTTTACATCCAAACATTAATGCATACAAAGCAACAAGGCATTGTTAAATAAAACAGCAATAGTTACTGCAGATTAGGCCTTGTGACCAATTACACATGATTAAAATTACTTCCCACATTCACATCCACAGTACTTGTCCACCATTTAACATCTCAACCAAGATGTTACACGTGTGAAACAGTCACTAACAGGCAAAAATACTAAACCTGTATATTTCGTATTGCAAATACACTTACGCGTGAGCAAGCAAGGGATTCACGGTGAGAATCTACAGCTGCAGAAGCCTGAAAATGATTTACAAAAATCGTTAAATCATTAAAAATTTTTCGAAAATATACACTTCTTGTAGACCCCCACTGTACACACAACTATAAACATTGTTCCCTATGTAAACAAAAATGGAAACATAATAAGAGATTTGAAAAGTCTGGACATTTCCTTCCCAACAGATATTAAAGGCAACCTCTTTAAGATATTATACTGAAAGGACTATCATATTTTAAAGACAAGATCACTGTCTCCACAGGTTTTTTAAAAATTAAAAAAACTATACAACTGTGTTAATCAAAGTGCTTATTTTGTACAATACAATGATAATGACCTTGAATTTCTTAAAAAAAAATTACAATAAGCTACAAGAATCAAAGAAGCAAAGTTATCTGGAGTAGTCTATATAGGAGCTCTTTGGAATTTATTTTATTGTGCTAAAATAGTGGTGCTTTTAGGATTTACGCTATTGTACTCTCCAATACAAAGTATGGAGCATGTTAAAGTATGTATTACACCATTTTCATACATGTGCATCATTGGTGGATGAAGAATGTCTCTTAGCAATAATACTGGATGTAGCCTCTGGTTTTACCAGCTGCATACTCTAGGACTATTATATAAGTAAAAATCTCTCTTGTGATACTGGAAAGTGATTGGAATGTGCAAACTGACATAGTAGCTTTCATCCGCCTCTTAAAGGATACCACCACAGGAAGTCCATTTAAGATGTTGGTAGGTTTAACAAAGCTGGGATGCTGGCACTGTTGAATTGCGCAACAGTTCTTCAGACCTAGCTCAGAGCTACGATGCATTTTGTATATTAAAGTAGCTGACATGATGACATTTTACGAGGCTTCCCAGGCACTGCAGTTTTTCTGTTAATTTGCCACACTAGGTCATAAAAGATCTCATTAACATTTATTTTTGATTTTGCAGAAGATTCTAAGAATGCACAGTTATTCCATTGTCTTGCTAGATTTTCACCTTGTTCCTTTCCTACAACTCTTTCATCTTCTAAGTCACACTTATTACCGACCAGAATCATTGGAACATCATCAGTGTCTTTAACTGGAAGAATCTGTTCTCTCAGATCTTGCAAGTCATTAAATGTGGACTGTGCTGTGATTGAATAAACTAATGCAAAGCCTTGCCTGTTTTTCACGTATAAATCCCTCATTGCTGTAAATCGTTCCATTCCTACAGTATCCAAGATTTCAAGCATACACTGTTGTGCATCTACTTCAACTTGCTTTCTATAAGAATCTTCTATCGTAGGATCATATTTTCAACAAAAATTCCTCGAACAAATTGTACAGTCAGAGCAGACTTTCCAACACCTCCTGAGCCAAGAACGACTAGCTTATACTCACGCATGATGCAAACCCATCAAACTGAGTACCTCTCACACTGTCACCGGGTCCCCGCAGCCAGCGTCGCCCTGCGCTTCCTCTGGGTCCCTACTCCTGGAGCCACGGCAGTCCTGCTGCTGCCGCTGCCACTGCTCTGGCTGGTTTACACGCCTCTCCAGTAGGCTTTATTTCTCTTTTTATTCTGTCATTTGTTAGTGAATTGAAAAGTTCAGGACTAGCTCTGCTTAGTGTCTGTAACACTGTTTGAATAAACTAACAAAACTTTGAGTAAGACAAGGTAGCTTTCTCAGGCCTTTTTTTTCTTTCTAATATCTTTTTTTTAAATGTCAGAATATCATGGGGGTACAAATGTTTAGGTTACATATATCGCCTTTACACTACCCGAGTCAGAGCTACAAGTGTGCCATCCCCCAGACAGTGCGCACCGCACCCATTAGGTGTGAATATCCCCTCCCTCCACCATCTGCCTGACATCTGATGAATGTTACTTCCATTTGTGCACATAATTAGTACCAATTTGATAGTGACTATGTAGTGCTGGTGTTTTTCCATTCTTATGATACTTCACTTCGGAGAATGGGCTCCAGCTCCAACCAGGATAATACAAGAGGTATTAGTTCACCATTGTTTGTTGTGGCTGAGTAGTACTCCATGGTATACATATACCACGTTTTATTAATCCACTCATGTATTTATGGGCACTTGGGTTGTTTCCACATCTTTGCAATTGTGAATTGTGCTGCTATAAACATTCTAGTGCAGATGTCTTTTTTGTAGAATGTCTTTTTTTCCTTAGGTAGATGCCCAGTAGTGGGATTGCTGGATCAAATGGTAGTTCTACTTGTAGCTCTTTGAGGTATCTCCATATTGCTTTCCACAGAAGTTGTACTAGTTTGCTGTCCTGCCAGCAGTGTTTGAGTGTTCCTGTCTCTCTGCATCCATGCCAACATTTGTTGTTTTGGGACTTTTTGATAAAAGCCATTCTCACTGGAGTTAAGTGATATCTCGTGGTTTTGATTTGTATTTTGCTGATGATCAGAGATGTTGAGCATTTTTTCATATGTTTCTTGGTCATTAGTCTATCTTCTTTTGAAAAGTTTCTGTTCATGTCCTTTGTCCACTTTGTAATGAGGTTGTATGATTTTTTTCTTGTTGATTTTCTTGAGTTCTATGTAGATTCTAGTTACCAGCCCTTTATCAGATGTATAGCATGCAAATATTTTCTCCCATTCTGTAGGTTGTCTGTTTGCTCTAATGATAGTTTCTTTGGCTCTGCAGAAGCTTTTTAATTTGATCAGGTCACATTTATTTATTTTTAATGATGCTGTGATTGCCTTTGGGGTCTTCTTCATAAACTCTTTGACTAGGCTGATGTCTATAAGAGTATTTCCAACATTTTCTTCTAGAATTCTTATGGTTTTATGCCTTAGGTTTAAGTCTGTTACCCATCGTAAGTTGATTTTGTGAGAGGTGAGAGGTGCAGATCCTGTTTCAGTCTTCTAAATGTGGCTATCCAATTTTCCCAGCACCATTTATTGAGTAGGGATTCTTTCCTCCAGTGTGTGTTTTTGTTTGCTTTGTCAAAGATCAGGTGGCTATATGAGGATGGTTTTAAAACTGGGTTCTCAGTCCTGTTCCATTGATCTAGGTCTCTGTTCTTGTGCCAGTACCATGCTGTTTTAGTTACTATAGCCTTGTAGTATAGCTTGAAGACTGGTAAATTGATGCCTCCCAATTTGTCCTTTTTGCTCAAGATTGCTTTAGCTATACGGGGTGTTCTCTGGTTCCATATGAAGCACAGAATTATTTTTTCTACATCTGCGAAAAATGATGTTGGTATTTTAATAGGGATTGCATTGAATCTGTAGATCACTTTGGGTAGTATAAACATTTTAACAATGTTGATTCTGCCTATCCATGAGCATGGTATGATTTTCCATCTGTTTACGTCCTCTACTATTTCATTTCCTTCCTTAGTAGATGTCTTTCACCTCCTTAGTTAAATATATTGTAGGTACTTTATTTTCTTTGTTGCTATTGTGAAAAGTATTGAGTCTTTGATTTGGTTCTCAGGTTGACTGTTGTTGGTGTATATGAATGTTACTGATTTGTGTACATTGATTTTGTAACCTGAGACTTTGCTGAACTTATTTATCAATTCCAGTAGTCTGTTGGCAGAATATTTGGGGTTTTCTAGATATAAGGTCATATCATCAGCAAAGAGAGGTAGTTTGACCTTTATTCCCCACTCGAATGCCCTTGATTTCCTTCTGTTGTCTGATTGCTCTGGCTAGGACTTCCAACACTATGTTGAATAGAAGTGGTGATAGAGGGCAACCTTGTCTGGTTCCAGTTGTAAGCGGAGATGCTTTCAATTTTCCCCTATTCAGTATGATGTTGGCTATGGGTTTGTCGTGTATGGCCTTTATCATTTTGAGATAAGTCCCATCTGTGCCTATTTTATTAAGCGTTCGTATCATAAAAGGGTGCTAAATTTTGTCAAATGCTTTTTCTGCATCTGTTGAGAGAATCATATGATCTTTGTTTTTACTTTTGTTTATGTGGTGAATTACATTTATGGATTTGTGTATGTTGAACCCATCCCTGCATCTCTGAGATGGAGTCCACTTACTCATGATGGATTATTTTTTTTGATGAGCAGCCAAATTCGATTTGCTAGGATTTTATTGAGAATTTTTGCATCTGTATTTATAAGGTATATTGTTCTGTGGTTTTCTTTTTTTGTTGAGTCCTTTCCTGGGTTTGGTATCAAGGTAATGTTGGCTGTGTAAAACATATTGGGGAGGATTCCTTCCTTCTGAATGTTGTGGATTAATTTCTGCAGAATAGGCACCAGTTCTTCTTTGTAGATATGGTAGAATTCAGGTGTGAAACCATCTGGTCTAAGACTTTTTTTGTAGGAAGATTTTTTTATTGCTGCTTCAATTTTGGTACTTGATATTGGTGTGTTCAGGAGTTCTGTTTCTTCTTGATGGAGCCCAGGGAGGTTGTCTGTTTCTAAGAATTTGTCCTTTTCCTCCATGTTTTCAGGTTTATGTACATAGAGATTTTTATAGTATTTAGAGATAATATTTTGTATTTCTGTGGTATGACTTCTAATTTCTCCGTTTTCATTCCTTATTCAGCTTTGAGTCCTTTATTTTCTGTTTCTGGTTAATCTAGCAAGAGGTGTATCAACTTTGTTAATCTTTTCAACGAACCAGGTTTTGTTTCATTAATCTTTCATATAGTTCTTTTGTTATTGATTTCATTTAGTTCTGCTCTGATCTTGGTTATATCTTTTCTTCTGCTGCGTTTTGGATTGGTTTGCTCTTCTTTTTCCAGTTCTTTGAGACAATTCATTAGATTTGGTTTGTGATCTTTTTGTCTTTTGGATGTAGGCATTTAAGGCTATGAATTTTCCTCTCAGGAGTCCTTTAGCTGTGTCTCACACATTTTGATAACTTGTGTCCCCTTTATCATTTAGTTTGAAGAATCTTTTGATTTCCATCTTATTTTTCTCCTTGACCCAATAATTGTTCAGCAGGAGGTTGTTTAGTTTCCATGACTTTGTGTAGACATAAGTGTTTCTGTTGGAGTTGATTTCTAATTTTATTCCACTGTGGTCTGAGAAAATGCATGGTATAATTTCTGTTTTTTTTTTAATTTGTTGAGACATGTTTTGTGGCCAAGGATGTGGTCAGTCTTAGAGAATGTCCCATAAGCTGATGAGAAGAATGTATATTCAGTGGTTTTTGGGTAGAAAGTTCTGTAAATATCTGTTAGGCCCATTTGTTCTAGAGTTCTATTGTAAGTCCATTGTTTCTTTGTTTATTTTCTGTTTAGAAGATCTCTCCTGTTCTATCAGTAGGGTGTTGAAGTCCCCAGCTAATACAGTGCTGTCGTTAATCATTTTGTTTAGATCAAATAGGATTTGCTTTATGAATCTGGGCCCACTTGTGTTGAGTGCATAAATATTTAGAATTGTTATGTCTTGTTGAATTTTCCCTTTACCATTATATAATGACCATCTTTGTCATTACTTTTGTTGATTTCAAGGCTAAGTTATCTGAAATGAGAACTGCTACACCAGCTGTTTTTTGGCTTCCATTTACGTGGAATATTGTTTTCCATCCCTTCACCTTGAGTCTGAATGAGTCCTTGTGGGTTAGATGAGTTTCCTAAAGACAGCAGATACTTGGTTTTTGTATATTTTTTCATTTGGTCAGCCTATGTCTCTTCAGTGTGCAGTTCAAGCCATCCCCATTTATTGAAAGAATTGATGAGTGGGGTGGATTTCTGTTCATCCTGATGAATAGAACTTTGTTGCTTTGTTTTATCTCTTGAGCCATTGTGGTATCTGGCCTTTGACCTTTAGCTTTTGGATGACACTGATGAGTGTCTATTGTGCTGATCCATGTGTAACGCAGTTCTGAGTACTTCCTGCAGGACAGATCTTGTTTTGGCAAATTCCCTCAGTGTTTGCTTGTTTGGGAAAGACTTTATTTCCCCCTTATATATGAAACTTAGTTTTGCAGGATACAGAATTCTAGGCTGAAGCATTATTCTGTTTAAGAAGACTGAGAATGGGGCCCCAGTCCCTTCTGGCTTCTGAGGTCTCAGTTGAGAAGTCTGTAGTTAGTCTGATGGGTTTTCTTTTGCCTTATGGCTCATAGGAGGCCTCTTCAATGTTTATTTTGGGCAGTCTGATGACTATGTATCGTTGTGTTTTCCTCTTTGTGATGAATCTCCCAGGAGTCTTTTGAGCTTCTTGTAATTGGATATCTGGATTCTACTAAGGCCAGGGAAATTGTCCTCAATTATTCCCTCAAGTAGATTATCCAACCATGTGTGTTTTCTTCTTCACCCTCACGGATACCTATGATTCTTATGTTAAGCCTCCTCATATAATCCCATATTTCTTGTAGGCTTTTCTCTTTCTCTTATTTCTCTGCTCTGTCTCTTTAACTGACTTATTTAATTTAGAGGTGTTGTCTTTAAGCTCTGAGATTCTTTCCTGTCTGATCTAACCTATTCTTAAG